TTAACTCTATTAACTGATTATTAACCATTAGCATTCTGTTAATGGAACTAACAAATAAAATTGAATTTAAATTTCATGTTTTCAATAACGGAATGTTAACAAATGTTAAGATTCAACTAATAGAGCTAACAATCACTTTACAGTCAGTTAACATAACTAACATAATGTTATGATCTGACCTTAAATAAGAGTTATCTTCTTCAACTTATATAGATGAATGGCTAAAAGTGTCATAGTATAAGGTGAGAAGCTAAAACTTACAAATTTATTAAGATAAATGACTAAAAGTGTCATAGTATAATGTAAAAAGTTAAATCTTATAAACTTATTAAAGTAAAAGACTAAAAATAGATTTTTACCCATAATAAAAAAAAAAGGAAGACCCAAAAGGAGGGGTTCATCGTACGACTAAGATTTTTTTTTCCTACTGTGCGCAAGAAAAAGTAAAAGGGTCGCTTTCTCACCACTAGGTTTTTAATTTTTTTAGTTGAGGGGGAGCGTTGTTCTTTTTTTAAATAAAAAATATTTATTTTCTTTAAAATAAAAAAAATTAATTTTGTGACATCATGAATCCCTATCTAGTTGGAATTTTAAGTGTGGTCAATATATAAGATTAGAGACTAATCATTATTAATAATTTAAATTTAAATTTTTTAAAATTTGTAAATTTTAACTCGAAAAAGTTATTAGGTTAATAATAAATAGTGGTTTGGATCTTTTGAAATCTAGAATAAATTTTAAATAAAAAATATTATTTTAAGATAGAGAGAATATATAACAATATAATTTTTCAAATACTAACTTTGATCTACATTATGATTTATTATGGTTAGACTTAGTTTAACAATGTTGACTTGTAATTGTAGTTAAAGATTTTTTCAGTCTTTTAACATATGAAAAAAAAATATAATATATTTAATATTTAATATTTATTTTAATTAATATTTTACATATTTTTAAAATAATAAAAAGGTACAAAAACTAAAAGTTAAAATATACTGAAAAACATGTTAAAGAAAGACTTAGTCTATATGAACCAAAAAACACATTAAATTGATTTGTTTTCGAAGAAAATGTTAAATTAGTCTTGGTAAATTTTAGAAGTACTTCACCAAAAATTAATAAAACTCTATCAATTTTTTTTTTAAATTTTTCTTTATATATATATATATATATATATTTTTTTTTTTTCATCTTCACATTTCCTATCGTTAAAGAAAAAAATAATAATCTAGATTTTTTTTATCGGCGACAAGGGGATATATGAAGATTTTGAGCTAATTTTTCACGTGTTAGATCTGTTATATTTATATATATGGTTAAGTGTTTATTTGTGTTATCTCTTAAAAATTAGGAGAAAAAAA